GGGGATCTCTTTCTTGACATGAAGGCGGGGATCTCGACCTGGCCTCTCTTGCGATATAGTCCCCACAGCTCTGAGCTGAGCGATGCTGTTGGGCCAGACAAAGCTCAGGAAGGCGGGGATCTCGACCTGGCCTCTTGTGATATAGTCCCCACAGCTCTGAGCTGAGCGAGGCTGTTGGGCCAGACGAAGCTCAGGAAGGTGGGGATCTCTTTCTCGACATGAAGGCGGGGATCTCGACCTGGCCTCTCTTGCGATATAGTCCCCACAGCTCTGAGCTGAGCGATGCTGTTGGCCCAGACAAAGCTCAGGAAGGCGGGGATCTCGACCTGGCCTCTTGCGATATAGTCCCCACAGCTCTGAGCTGAGCGAGGCTGTTGGGCCAGACGAAGCGCATGCTCGACGGTTTCGCCTACTAGAATCCTTCTCATCTTCTGCTCTGTCCAGTTCTACCATTTATTCTAGTGATACGAGCACCAATCTACAGTAGTCTATGCTAACCCACATTCAAACAATACCAACACTTCCTTTTTTTTTTTTTTGGGGGGGGGGGAAGTATTTGGCGGGGAGGCAGACCAAGCGTCCTATAAAAGAGATGCCAGTATTGGGGGGGAGACAGGCTCAGGGTCCCATAAAAAGGATGCGAGGAGACAGACCGAGGGACCCATAAAAGAGGTGCCACTCTCCGTTCCATCACCTACACAATGCTGCCACTGTCTTATGCCTCGATCTCTCGTACTGGGTAGCCAACGTGCCAATTTGTTTCCCTCTTCACCCCAATACATGTACGGTGATTATTGCTGTATTTACAATTTAGATAATTTCAGAAAGAGAGCCCAAATACAGCTTTCAAAATAATGGAAATACATTGTACGGTGATTATTGCTGTATTTAGAGGATGTTAGATTGACTGAAAGACAGCCCAGATGCAGCTTTTTTATACTATGGAAATGATGCCTGTATGTTGTCTTCGGGTGAAGAAGGTAGTTTAACCGGAGTGTGCGTTGGTGGAAATATTGGATTGCTGTGGAACACGTTTTTCTGCTCGTTGTTTGTGGGTACGTGGGTTGCAGCCTAAGCTTCCTTCGTCATTTTTTTTTTTTTTTCCTCTCTCAATTTCACCTTTTTCAATGTCTATGTACACTACTCCTCACCCTGTACAACGCCACATAACGAATGTCGTCCTCCTAAGAAACACTGGGCATAATATCATATCATCGCTTCCGAGGGAGGATCGGCAGAAGCACGAACGAAGTGCTGGCGAGCCTCTGCCGCAATGCTCCTTAGAACACACTGCGCATAATATCATATCATTGCTTCCGAGGGTTGGCAATGGCACGAACGAAGGAAGTGCTGGCGAGCCTCTGCGGCATTGATTTTGACAAAATGGGCAGGGGAGCTGTAATCATAGCTGCTACCTCTCACAATTAAGGGGATGCGTGTAGCGCTCGACACCGTGATTGGCGGTGGTAAGAGGGAGGGGTGGTGGGGCCCGCCGGTGGCAGGTAGGGGATGGGGGCTAATGCAAAGACCGAGCATTTTGCCAGTGTGTGCAGCTCTCCTGTCGACTGCCCCCGGCCCCCGGTTGAGTAGCGACAGCCGCTACTGTGGGCAGCACTCGTGTGTTCTGATCGGTTGTCCTGTTGATCGGTTGTCCTGCTCTGTGTTCTTATCAGTTCATGACGAGGTTTTAGGTGGTAGATGATTCTGTGGAGGTAAGTAATACCCACATTCACCCCGCGCCGACATGGTACGGCGTGGTAGAATCACGACTGAGTTTACCGTGCGTGAGTACGGTCTTTTTGAACCGCGAGTACCTTTCCCAGCTTTCGGCCGCAGCCCCTACGCGCCGAATCTTGGCAGGGCGCATCTGGCCGCCGCCTGTGGCTGAGTGCGGTATCCGTGCTAACCGGTGCCTTGTCTTGGTGAAACGCCTGGGAAAGGTACTGGTGGTTAAAACCACGACTGTCTGGGCATCTGTTTTGCCTAACCTGATGCGTGTCCAGCTGCGGAGGTGTGCAAGCCGCGGTCATTCCCTGATAGAGTCCAATTTAGTTTTCTCAGAAGCTCTGGTAAACACTGCGCCTGCATGCGGAGGTGTGCAAGCGGAGGTGTGCAAGCCGTGGTCATTCCCTGATTGGTAGATGTTGGGCGAAACGGCGTCCCGATACATCTTGTCTGATGCGCCTGCATGCAAGATGCGTTTATGCGAGAAAAATTTGGAAACACAACGTCGGCTTGCAAGCGATGGAGGAGTGCAAGCCGTGGTCATTCCCTGATTGGTAGATGTTGGGCGAAACGGCACCCCGATACATCGTCTGATGTGCCTGCATGCGAGATGGGTTTATGCGAGAAAGGATTTGGAAACGCACCGTCGGCTTATATACGGTCCAAGTCTGTTGAAGTTTATGTTTTTATGTTATTGCAAGCTTGAGGTGTGCAAGCCGTGGTCATTCCTGGTACATTCCGGTCTGATGCACCTGCATACAAGACACGTTTATGCGAGTCGGGACCACAGCGTGATTGTGGACGGAGGCTGAATTAAAATATTTGTAAAACACTTCGGTTTGAGCGAGTCGGGACCACAGCGAATATAACGTAATAGATCAAGGTGTCAGATTGTGAATTTGAAAACACGGGTTGGACTCCCGTTATTTGCCTCTTGCATCTGAATTCTGGCGAGCCTAAATCCAGCCAAAGCTGGCGTCAAGACAGTTATTCATTGACTGAAGTCGATGAATCTATATTCCTTTATGTATGTATTTTTTTTTGTCGTATCTATATTACTACGTAATATACATCTATATATCAGCATCCACATGTATATATTACTATTTTTTTAAATTTCTTATGATATAATTATCGATGGTAACAAATTATTTATTTATTTAAAAGTTATATTGATTTACAGGAGTCTACTCAGTCTAGTATATGATTTGACCGGGAAGGCTATCGACGTTTTTTTTTGTGTAGCGTATGGGTTTTGGGGTTGTGTTATTATCGCCGACGTGTGAAAACTATAAAGGGATTTAGGCTACCAGACCGGCCAAAACAAATAAAATTAATAAAATTAATAAAATTAATAAAATTATTTTTGAATTTATTTTTTATTCCAAATTTGGTGAAGAATTTCGATGTGACCCTGGGGCAAGAGTTGCTCAGTTTATTTTTCTGCATAACGTTTTTTTTCCGGATTTTTTTCCGGATTTTTTTTTTTTTTTTTTTTTTTTTTGTTGTGACCTTCCCTGGTCCTTGCACGGGCTGGCCACCCCGGGACCCGGGCGGCCCGGCTGGTAGCCTAGAAAGGGATTGAATGCAGACTGAAGTCGGTGTGCGAGTGTAAGGTATCTCTGCAGGTAACACACCGAATCTGAAGTTGGACAGTTTTTTTCCTTTTTGGATGGACACAATTGGACACAGTTCTCTGTTGAGGTAGATGGTATACACTGTCTACATTGATGCAAATTTGCACAGTTTTTTTTTAAACGTTTTCGTGAACATTTGCCTTAGCCCATTGTTTTTGTTTTTTCAAAGACTCGCCTTCTTCACGTGAATAGAATGCCTGACCATAAGAGCAGCTGTAAAATGGTATACACTGTCCACATCAATGTAAATTCGCAGTCTTTTTCTTTAACGTTCTTGTGAACACTTGCCCTAGCCCAACTTTTTTTGTTTTTTGAAAGACTTGCCCGAGCCCACTACCGTCGAGCCCACAACCGCCTTCACGTGAATAGAATGCCTGACATTAAGAGCAGCTGTAAAATGGTATACACTGTCCACATCGATGTAAATTTGCAGTCTTTTTCTTTAACGTTCTTGTGAACACTTGCCCTAGCCCATTTTTTTAGTCTTTTTCAAAGACTTGGCCGAGTCATTACCGTCGAGCCCACAACTGCCTTCACGTGAATAGAATGCCTGACCATAGTCCACAAGCAGTGATAATGACCAGGCGGTCGATTTGGGTGAAGGCAGTGGGTTGATGGGGCACGTGCTGATGGGAATATTTACTCTCCTATGCCACTGCCTCACAGCTGCAAGTCACACCACTCTGTGTGAGTTGACGGGACCCTCGCCGAGTTTTGATTAAAAATGAAAAACCAATGGCGATGTTCCTCCGACTGTAATATATGCGCATCATGACTGGTAGTATCAGGTGAGGAAAAAAGAGTTCCCCCCTCCTCCCTGCCCCCCGCCTCGTCTCTCCTCCCCCATACTTTTTTTTGGTGCAAGTCGGAATCACCAGGGAAGGAAAAAATTAAGTCGTGTACATTCATGATGTTGATGATATTGCACGTGCAAGGAAAAAACGGGTTGTCGGCGACAAGACAAGTTTTTGTTTTTTTTGTTTTTTTTTTTTGGCGACAAGACGAGTCTGCGATCTCTATGTTAGAAGACTGGACTGCAGCTGAAAAATGCTGCCGCTGGTGGTCGGGGTCTGAGGTGCTGTTATATGCACAGATACGCAATGTACGTAATAAATTGAGAATCTGCAAGGTGATGAAAAGGACTGAATAGACAATGCAGTACGAGTAGAATCTCGACAAGTGATGTGCATTCTCATTCATACATAAAGATGCTGAAGAGCGCAGGGAAGACTTCGATACAAGACTGACCTGACAGGACTGACCTCATCCACGTAGTTCAGAGTAACGAAGCAGAATGCTAGAGTACCTCTAACTAAACCAATCAATGTTTGAACTCAGACTAAACATGCATTGTATCCATCACGAAGTGTGAAGGAGCCTGGCGCTACACACAGGAAGAAAGCGCCAGGTCCAGATATACACAGACGAAGAGATGAGGAACAGACGAAAGGAGGGAAGAAGATGGGAATGTCGTTAACACCAAGTCTTGGTCACCAATCCCAAATAGTCCCTCGCTGCCATGTCTGAACCCTCCAAAGTCGAGTCTGGATCCAATGTCACCAAGCTCTGTATCTCCTCTCATAATCTGAAGATGCATTGAAGTCAGAAGTGAGAGGGAGAGAAGAGATGGTGGACGGAGAAGAAGAAGAAGAAGAACACTCTCTCTCTCTCTCTGTTACGAACCAAGTACTAACCTGTGATGTTGGCGCTGTGCTGCAGGTACCTCGAAGACGAAGCTGGAGCAACGGCGCTGCAGGGAGGTACCTCTGGCCTCCTCCCAAGCTCTCTCTCTCTCTCTCTAGTACTACCTAGCTATGGCGCCCAGCGCTGGAGACTACAGCTACCTACTGCGCCCAACGCTGAAGACTACTAGCTAACGCTACCACTACTACAATGCAGTGCTCCCTCGAGAGTGCTGCACCCGAATCCTGAAGGCTACAACTACCAACTGCCTACCTCGGAAGTGCCTGGGAAGTCCTATGTACTACCTCGGCCTGCCTCCTGACTGCTGGAGGCCAGTCAGGCCGAGGAGGCAGCTCCTGCCAATGCTGAAATGTGCCAGGGGCTGGCCTGCAGCAGCCTGCTTGAGGCTGGCTTGGGAAACAAATTAATAATAGTCTGTTTTTGAAACCCTGGTTCGGTGCCTGAGTTTCAGGGCCGGTCGTTCTGATGAATAACCGAAAATGACCCTTCGTTTAGGGCTAAAAAGGCTGTTGCCATTTTTAGTCTGAAATGACCAGGGATAGGCCCTGGACTTCAGGCTTTTGGCCTGAACCGATAGGGGGCCTGTAAGCCCTGGATTTCAGGCTTTCGGCCTGAACTTCAGGCTTTTGGCCTAAACACTGTCGGGCCTGCAAAATGGCCGTCCGGCCTGCAAAATGGCCCGTGTGTGCACGAGCTGCATGTAACACCCCCCCTTGCTTATGAAGTCAAGCCGGGGCGAGGGCGAAGCCGTCGATCTGAGGGTGAAACCTGGACGAGGGCGCGACGTGGAGCTGAAGAAACCGGCTTGCCTTGCATCTTGCGTTCGTAGCGTGCGAGAACGCTTGGAGCTGTCGCTTGCAGTTTCGCACGGGTTAACCAGCGATCAGCTCGATGAGTGCAGTAAGCAAAATGCACCAGATACTCATTTGGCTTGTTGTCGTAGCGTCGCTGGGAGATGATGTCGTCGACCTCCTGAAAACCATCCATAGAAGGTGGGTCTTGCGTCCGTCTCCCGGGAAAGTCGTCATGATCCGTTGGCGTGTAGAGAGCCAGTTTGGAGACAGGCAAGTGGCTAAACACCTGAATCGCGAAGGAGGGTCCTTCGGGTGCGTCACCAGCGGGCTTTATGATCGGCCAAGGCCCCATCCATTTCGGGAGGAGCTTGTGAGAGACGTGTTTAAGGTTGAATTTCGCTGCTAAAACCCAGACGAGGTCCCCGAC